CTTCCTCAGAAGTTCTTCCACACTCCCTAAATGCCACCAGAAATGTGAGACATCTGCTCTACAGTTGGCCTATTCAGGAAGCTATGACGGATTTTCCAGATAACACATCCAAATAGTCTTTGCTGAATACAGCAGGATTTCTGATCACAATTCTTATTAACTCAAGTGAAGAATAAAAGAAAATGTTGCAGGTTTATATATTATTACAAATTCTGGCTTTTTAAGGATCTCTTAGGATAAGAGTTTTTCCAGAAATGCTCAGCCATTGTCCTGCAGCAACAGCCTTTTGAACTCCCCCTCACAGTCACTCTAAACTGGCCATGGTTCATCATGGAACTAAAAAAAACCCTGGTAGCAATAGTGAAAACTCATCCAAAACCCACACTTCTCATTCTGCTGTCAACTTCCTCTCAATCTCTTCATTACTTTCTGGACACTCCTCTATCAACTTGGTTTTCTTTTTCTGTATTAAGGGAAACAGGAATGGCTCCTCCTTCATTTGGAACATCTTCAAAGCTAATTTCAGTAGAACAACTCAATTTTTATTGGTACTTCAATCTCATAATGTATACCTCAGCTGTTATATATTGCCTCTCCATTGGAATAAATTCACTGTCACCACTGATCTGACCATTCCACTTTACAACCATCAAAATAGCACCAATGGTAGATCTACTTGATTTATTGTTCTAATATTGAGAAGAAAGATGAGTCAGTTTAAAAGTTTTTTGCTGGAAAACTAATGTTCCTATGGTGCAAAGTGAATAGAAGAGAGAGAACTCACTTGGAAGGAGGTTACTGGTTAACTGGCTGCTCTAATTCACACTCTCAAGGAAGCCTCTTCTCACAAATGCTCCAAAGTAAAACACATTTTAAATGAGAGCCCCGTGGCTTATTCCAGTGTTCACATGCACGTGAAAACCTTCTATCCACATTAAGAAAAAGGAAGTATAAACACATTAGGAGAAAGTGTTTTAATATTTCCCTTTCTTTTCCTACTCAGGGACTCCACATGGCATTCCAAGAAACACTCCAAGGGTGGCCATGTGTGTATGTGCAAATCCAGTTTTCATTCTCCTATCACTGGAATCCTTTCACCGACACCACAAAGTACCCAGGACCTGCAGAGTCACCTTACACTGGCCCTGAACTTCCCTCACACCTGCAGAAAGGTGTTGGTTTGCTGCCTTTCCAGGAGCCCCATCTCTCCTTCCTGGCAGTACCTTGTTTTTTATGGTACAAACAGAGCCATTACTGAATGTGGAGGAAATCAAGTGCTCTCTACCAACAGGTAGGATAAAACCAAACCTAACTCTGCCTCCTTTCTCCTTCACAACCAGACCTGCCCAAATGACAGCAGGGTTTGTACAAGGGACACCACTTTCTGGGACATGGTCTTGGATGTGGGGCAATTATGACAACTTATTGCTGGTCCTGTAATGATGTCCAACATTTTAAGGGTAAACAGGTAGAAAAAGAAGAAAGTTAGGAGTTTTAAATCCTGGTGAGGTCACAGTGCACAAGTAACTCACCCACCTCTACAGTCCTGTTTGCAGAAGGGTTCCCCAGAGCAGGAGATCCCATTTTGTGCCTGGAGAGCCTTCTCAGAGCTCCCTCCACGTTCAGCCATGAGGCTGCTCTGGGGAAAGCCCAGCACAAGTGGTTGGCAACAGGCTGGCACCCCAAACATTCCATGAACCCACTGCTACCATAGCAACAGGCTGGCACCCCAAACATTCCATGAACCCACTGCTACCATAACAATAGGCTGGCACCCCAAACATTCCATGAACCCACTGCTACCCTAGCAACGGGCTAGCACCCCAAACATTCCAGTCACCCACTGCTACCATAACAACAGGCTGGCACCCCAAACATTCCCAGTAGCGCTGCCTCCTGGGAACCAAATGGTGAATCCGTGGTTACCACAGGAAAAGCCTCTCACCAGAAAGCAAAATAATCAAGACTCAACCAAAACACACACTTCTCATTCTGCTGCCAACTTCCTCTCAACCTCTTCATTACTCTCTGGATGCTTATCTACCAACTTGGTTTTATTTTTCTGTATTAAGGGAAAAGGGGATGGCTCCTCATTTATTTGGAGCATCTTCACAGCTAATTTCAGTACAACAACTCATGATTATTGTTACCTCAATCTCATAACATACAACACTATGTAAAATGGCCTCTCCACTGGAATAAATATTCTGTCACCACTGATCTGCCCGTTGCACTTTACAACTGTCAGAACAGGGCCAATGTTAGATCTACTTGTTCTATCGTTCCGATATTGAGACCAATGAAGAGTCAGCTTAAAAACTTATTGCTGGAAAATTAATGTTCTCACAACATTAAGTAAAAAGAAAAGACATATTGGAGCTCACTCAGGAATGTCATTACTGGGTTACTGGTTCACCTAATTCACACTCTCAAAGAAGCTCACAAATGCTCCCAAATAGAACACATTTTAAAAATGAGAGCCCAGTGGCTTATTCCAGTGCTTAAATGCATCCGAAAACCTTCTAATCACAATTCAAAAAAAGAAGTACAAAGACATTAATAGAAAGTGTGCCTATTTCTCTTTCTTTCCCCATCCAGCTCAGAACAGGTCTATATACACACAGCATGTACACATATGCAGCAAGCTCTAACTACTAGATATGATTTATGAGTCTATCGAAGTAAAACATAGAATTTTATTACCATTTTGAATCAGCTCCAAGCCACCTAAATTCATTCCAATTGGATGTAAAGCTAAACAGAGTTGCAGAGCACTCAGTATCAACGTATGTCTACATTGGAAAACGTGAGATGCTTCTCTTTTTCTCAGATGAGTCTACAGCATTACTGGAATAATTCTGAGCTCTAGCAAACCATTGCCCCTATATTTCCATGTACAAGGATTTGGGCTTTGTTAATGGAGATACTTCACTTTAAGTCTGTTTTTCTTCATTTACAGCTAAAATATTTCTATGAAGATCAAATCTCTTTCAGATGCCATTTATTCCTATCTTGAATCCAAATCACTCACATATAACAAACTTACAATTTCCCAAGTGATATACACATTTAACTGGAAAACACGTTTACTGCATTTCTACTATAAATGATATCTTTTTCCCACCTGCAAGTTAGTTACAAATACACCCTCTAATTTTTGCTCAAATTTCCAGCCTTGACAAAGCAGAGTTTCATTTGTATTCGGGATTTCCATCTTATGTCTATCCATAGGGTGTAAAAGTAATTATATAATGCATTCAGCTCCCCTGATTTTTTTATACATTAAAATAAAAAGAAAAAGCCACCAAAACACCCCAGACTCCAACACTGTTGGAGAAGTGCTCTCCTGAGGGGCAGATTTCCTCTATTTTTTGACTCATAACCAGTTGTCTTGTTCCCAGAAGAAAAAAGGCACTGAGCAGTAAGAAAATCTTTTGCATTAGCACAGCTCACTATGTGGTGTGGTTATTCCACACAGCAACTGCATCTTTCCCATTTACCAAACCAGTCATTTTTGTCATGCGTAGTATATTCACCAATATATAATTATTTCTAGTTGAACAATGAAAATACTCAGAGAGGTGCTCTGCTGGCCTTGGCAGACAATTCTGTTTCCCCACAGCATCCACTTCTGTGAGCAATTCTTAGCCAGCTCTTAACACACAATGTGGGATAAAGGACCTGAGGAGTTTCACCTTTCTAAGTTAGGAAATCACGAGGTATTTAGACATTTTGAACATTTACAAAACACTATTTTAACCTTTGAAGATCAGAATTTTCAACTTGTGTTGTCAGTGTTCATTAAAATGCTTTCTTTGCAACATCCAATGCTGTTAATATCTCTAATATCCATCAGCTTCCTACAAAGAGCTTCTAAGTCAAACACCCCTGACACTGGATCAACAACATTCTGAAAGAGTTTGATTTTGCTGTTGCAAATGACACTTAAACCAGATGTCTCAAAAAAATCTACAGTACCAGGAGCTGACAAACATAGTCTTGGAGACGTGAACCTTATCCAAAAGCATCCATTTCAGTCTTAAAATTGATTCATATTTTAAACTCCTATGCAAAATGCCTCCTCATTTATTTATTCTTTTATGTTTAGGGAATGTTACCCTCAAATAATATTTTGAATTTATAATACTCAATGTAAAGAGATTACAATGTTTTAGGATTCTTCTGTAAGGACAGTGCAAGCCCTAAAGAATCCAAACCCAAATTAATATATATAGAGAGAGAATCCTTAGAGCACTCAGCCTTAGTTGGGAAGTGGTACAGGAATGACACACAAAGGGCACAGCACACTTCCCAGAGCCCAAATCTTGGAATGGCAACACCATCCAGTACAGAACCTCTGAGAAGATCCAGGCTACAACAGGGTTATCACAGACAGAATGCCAGGCTTATCCCAGGGATGCCACCATAGTGCAAATGCAGGGAAAACCGTGCTACTGCCTCTGGAGACACCTTCCCTCTGCACTCCTGTACTGTCACTGGTCCTCTTCCAGGAACAAAATATTAAGTTCCAAGAACATGGGACATGAAAAAAATTCATTGGGGAGTAAAGTGCAGGTTTGTATCTGTTTGGATCTTCCTCCTAAACTTCTCTCCTAACACTGCAGTCTTTGTAAAACTCTCACTACTTTTGTTACACTACAAGAAGCTTTCCACTTTCTTCTCTGTCCCTCATTCCTGGTGTGAAAAGGGCCTTTTCTTCAAGCTAAAAATAACGTTTAAAATTTGTACACGGGTGTATGGCAACCATATGACTTTCCAGGAATGCGACTTGCTACTTGTAAGTCCTTGTGATCACTCTGTAAATGACAAGAGTTTAAAGCAACACCATTTTCTGCGACACATTCTTGGAACGTGGGGCAATTGTGACACCTTATGGCCGTTCCTGTAATGGCCTTCAACGTTTTAAGGGTGAACAGATTGAAAACCAGAAAGTTAATAGTTTGAAATCCTGCTTTGGTCACAGGGTACGAGTAACTCACCCACCACCACAGCTCTGTCTCCGGAAGGGGTTCTCCAGGGCAGGAGATCCCACCAAGACCATTTTGTGCCTGGAGAGCCTTCTCAGAGCTCCTCCCACACTCAGCCACGAGGCTGCTCTGGGCAGTGCCCAGCACAAGTGGTTGGCAATGGACTGTCACCCCAAACATTCCAGTAACCCACTGTTACCGTAGCAACGGGCTGTGACCTGAACATTCCCAGGAGAACAACCCATTATTCCCACAGTAACACAAATGTGTGGGTACTTGGTATATATCCTGAGCTCCTCAGCATGGACTGTGCAAGTTCATTCCAGCCTTTCCTCAGACCACCCCATAAGCAAAAAGAGATTATCCATAAATTAACGTGCAGAAAGTCACCACAATACTCACTCTCTACTACATTTCTAACAGGAATCACAGACTGCTGCCCCAAGAACACTATTTATACCCTGCCTTTCCCTCAGGGTGTGAATTTACCCATAATGTTATGCAGGTGGTTCCCACCATCAGCCAGAGCACCTCCAGCTGACTTAACCAATTAGGTTTTAGATTATAAAACCCTCCACTGGAAGCTGGGGCAGCTTGAGGAAAGTTGGTATGGCTTGAAGAGGTCACTGTACCTTTTTAGGCTATATTAGCGAGGGCCTCTTGAAAGAAGAAACAGTGTCATGTTGTCTTTGTCAGGCTTTTTCTAACAGGTTGGAACTTTTACTCAGTTTCATAGGATAATTTAGGTTGGAAAAGACACTCAAGATCAACAAGTCCAACACTAAACTATGCGCCAAAGAGCCACATTTTAACTGGGCACTTTTTAAATCTCTCCAAGAATGCTCACTCTACTTCCATGGGCAACCTGTTCCAGTAAAGAAATTCTTCCTAATATCCAGTATAAACCTTCCCTGGCACAACCTGAGTCTGTTTGCTCTTGTGCCTGTTCCTTGGGAGAAGACATGAACCCCTACCTGACTGCAACCTCCTTTCAGGTAGTTGCAGAGAGAGATAAGGTCCCCCTGAGCCTCTTTTTTCCAGGCTAAACACTCCCAATTTCAAGAAATTCTGTCAGTGGGCTAAAGCCCTAAAATATTCTTTCAGCACAAATGTGAGAATGGGCAGCTGGGGAGATGAAGGTTAAATGAGTGTCCTTGCTGGGGGGGAGTGCATTCTACAAAATGCAAAAGAAATACTCAGATGATGATGAGTTACAACTCTACAGCTGGTTTCTGACAGAGGAGGAAGGATCTGAAAACTGCTTCTTGTTCTGATTTGGATGCAAACAGCAGTTCTTTGGCTGTGCTTCTGTAGGTTCATCATTGCTTAATTTTCTCACTTGGAATAAATACATGGCTAGATTTTTATTTGTGGGGGAAGAACAGTACAATGTATTAAACCAGATTTATTTTTTGAACTGTGGCAGATGCATATGTACCATAGTGACACATGATGTTAGTAAAGTACAATGGGCTCTTGGACTGCCCATAAACACCTCGAAGTTAATTATTCACTTGTCATTCATTCAGTTATTCATAAAGGGATTCATGTTCTTTAGAACTAGAATAATTGTTGAGGTATGGCAAAGAAAGTGGCAAAAACTCAAGAAGCTTCAGCTATGCTAAGCTTGATATTTCTAAGGTTATTTAAGATTTTTAAAATGAAATATTGTAGATATTTCTAACTGCTCATAATTCTAGTCTCAACTGGTTTTAAATCTAATGCTGGATATAGATTAAAACCCAGTTGCATAAATTCCTAGAAACTGGAAATAAAATACGTACTTTAGGCTTAGATGGATTAATATTTTAATTATGTGTTTTATTTATGATAATCCTCATTTCCACTATTTTTTTCAGATCACAATGAGAGGAAGCAACAACATGGGAATAATTTTTCCTTTAAGTTGGAAGATACGAGGAATTACACCACAAACAAAATATATTTCACAAGAGATTCAAACATTACGGCCTGGCTGCTCATACAGTGGAATCACAGTGACATTAATGAGAGTGTGACTGACTTAAAGGCAGCAAGTTGTCCCAACAGCTCAAACCAAACAGGCTCATTTCTAGACTGAATTCCACCTGTGTTAGGTCCCACCACTGTGTGCTACCATGTATTTGCTGATGGATCAAGGAATCATTAGTTATTACAGATCTCATCCAGTGTAATCAAGCAGGGGTGTTAATCAGTTAACCTCTTATACCTTCCCTTGCCTCATGCTTCTTTGTGATTCTGAGCTTAAACATGAAATCTGGAATTGTTCTCTGGTATCATGCAGACTACGTAGAACTCAAACTGAAGAACCAAAACATTTCATCCTTTTTTGAGCCCACAAGCAGTGACGTGTGTGACAAATGGCTGTTACAGTTATTTAGCTAAGCACTGTGAAAATTAGGATATTTTATTGAACTCCTTGGATCTTCTGTGCTGCAGATCTGTGAGTGCTGAAAGTCTTGTAGGAACAGCTCACTGTTTGCTTACAGAACAGTCTGGTTTTTACCTCCGGCCCATGAGATAATTTCAAAAACATGCCTTGTTATTAAAATATTTTTGGATGCAGATTGTACCAGAAATTGTCAAACTTGGTGAAAAACAGAAGCTTTACTCCATCTACAAAGTATGAAACTACATCCATCATAGCAAGACTGAAGCACCTTACTCAAAATGAGAAAAGGGCATTTGTGCTGTTGTGGCTGAAACAGGTGGACCTTAAAATCTGTCATCAGCAACTAATATTTTGATATTGGAACATTTTTCAGAAATCAAAAGTTGGCAAATCTGGATATGTCCCATTATATATCCCACTTGTTTTTTTTCCAAAGCATTTTTCTTCTAGTATCCAGGTACCACTCCCAAACAGCAAACATAGGACCAAAGCTTTGCATTTCTTCCTGTTGCAGAAACTCCTATATGCAGGGGAAGGAAAGAGCCATGAAAGGCCATCTCATTAAACCAAATGAAAATTATACTTGTGGAATGCTCATAGAACATGCATCCAAGCCATAGCATGAGAAAGCAGCAGTGCTCGTCAAGGCTAAGAAACCCCATGGGACTTATGTACCAGATCATGATCCTCCTTAGGCATTTGGAGTCAATTTGGGCTTGTTTCACCCTTTCTGCAGGAAGATTTGTGCCATCCTTGGTGAAACCCAAACCCAGTCTTGGCTTTTTGTGAGGAAATGAGAGGAGAGATGTAAAGCTTGTCTTCACTCAGGCTGACAGCCCGTTTCACACACTCAAACCTGACCCACGCCTCCTGAAGCACAGCTCCCCTCCTCACACAGCTAGGCTGCTTATTTCCAGGGAATGGCTCCTGGTCACAGTTCCCTGCGCTGCAGTAGCTCATGTTCACACACCCAGGCTCCCTGCCCTACCAAATCCCCTCCTGTTAGTCCCTGGTGAGCGTGTCAGCGCACCCAGCACACAATCAGAGCTCAGCACACAATCGGAGCTCAGCACCGTGGCTGTCTCCGAGCCTGTCTCAGGGAAAGACTTGGCCCTCAGAGGGAAAACACATCACAGAATACTCTGAGTTGGAAGGGATCCACAAGAATCATTAGGGTTGGAAGGGACCTCTGCAGATCATCCCCTGCCAGGGCAGGGCCACCTGGAATTATGGAATCATAGAATCATGGAATCATGGAATCAGCTGGGTTGGAAGGGACCTCCGAGATTGTCAAGTCCAACCCTTGATCCAACACTGCTGTGGTTCCCAGACCATGGCACTAAGTGCCACATCCAGTCTTCTCTTAAAAACCTCCAGGGACGGAGAATCCACCACTTCCCTGGGCAGGTTTGGAATGTCTCCAGAGAGGGAGACTCCACGACCTCTCTAGGAAGCTTGTTCCAGCGCTCTGCCATCCTCAGTGTAAAGTTCTCCCTTGTGTTGAGGTCGAACTTCTTGTGCTTTTATTTACGGCCATAAACACGGATCATGAAGCCTCTGAACAGGACCATCCCCAACAGTCCAGCCCGTGCCTGAGGACGCTGTCCAGACGCCCCCTGTGCTCTGCCAGGCTCAGTGCCGTGCCCACTGGATATATTGACCGCTTGGGTGTACACGCTTGCAACAAACGTGGGTAGAGCCCTTCCCAAATCTTCGTTCGCGAAGCCTAGCCATGATGGGTGTGCACAGATCCCGGTTTTATCCCCGATACGAGGCTCTGTGGTCCGTGCGACCTTTAGGACTCTACACCTCCACATCGCCCCCCATTCTGCCTCCACAGAGCTCCGCCCCGCCCTCCCCGCCCCTCCGCGACGTCTGAGACCCCGCCCCCTCGCGTAACGTCACTGCGCGCGCGCCTTCCCGTCGTGCCCCGCGGGACCCGTTGCGCCTCCCCGGCGGCGGCGGCGCTGCCCGGTCCGGCCTGTTCTCGTTCCCGAGCCATTCCCGGCCTCTTCCCGAGCCATTCCCGGCCTCTTCCCGCAGCCCCCAGCGGGAGCTGCCCCGCCCCGCCATGCCCCCCAAGAAGCAGCAGCAGCCGGCGGGGGGCAGCAAGAAGGCGGACCAGAAGAAGAAGGAGAAGATCATCGAGGTGAGGAGGAGGCCCCGGGGCCGCTCTCTCGCCGCGGCCTCGCGCCGGGCCCGGCCCGGCCCTCCCGGCGGCTTCCCGGCTGGAGCGGCCCCGGGAAATGGTCACACAGCCACGCGCTCGGCGTTCCGGGGGGTGCTGGGACGGTGCCGCAGCGCTGCCCGGGCTGCTCTGGGTCCAGCGGGGCATTTCCAGGCCGGAGCTGCGTTTGCTCCGACCGTGATCTGGCAGCGGCGCTCGGCCTTCTCCCCTCTCCCTTTCCCACACCCCTCCCGGTGCCCTGCGTGTTCGTGTATTCCCCGAGTCCGGCTCGCCGAGCTGTAGGTTTGCGTCCTTGCGGGTTCTCCAGAGGTTCCTTCCAGTCCTCACAACTCTGTTATTCTTCGCTCAGTTTAAAACACGGGTGTGCTTTGTTTTGCGGCTTCTTGTTACAATTTGACCCATGTGACCAGATTTTTTAAAAAGACTGCAAGAGGGATGTCTATGTGTGTGTCTGTGGCTGTGTGTCTTGCTTATTAGGACAGACACACCGACCTTATGCTAACAACGACAGAATTTATGTTGACAGCACAAGCAGGGCAGTTATAGAAAATTACATATTTGCCTGAATTTACTGGCATGAAAGACAGTAGCTGCTCAGCTGTTAAGGCGGAACATCCGTGTGAAGTGAGTGTTCTTTGGCACCTGAGGCTGCAGGATGTTGTTTCTGTGCTCTTTGGAAATATGAGGTTAGAGCAAGTTGGTCCTATGTTCTCCTGGCTTTGTACTTTCTGAGGTTCTTGCTGAATCCAGCTGCATGGGAAAATTCTGCTTATTCCAAAGACATGCAGCTGAAAGGGGAAAAGCTTGCCTTGATAACAATAACTTACTGTATAATTCAAATACAGAGGAGTTATATCTTCCATGTGGTGTTTACAGTGGAAATCAAGTGTGTGAATGATAGATTTTCTTTCCCAAATGATTATTTTGACTTCTCAGATTAGCACAAAGTAGCAGAATACCAGCTGGTGTTGATAGAGGATATGTTGTAAGTGACTTGGAGCTGTTTATTCTGTAATTATTTTATCATAGATTTTTGGGTTGTTAAGGCTTCCAAAAGTATGTTTGAACTGAAGTGTTATCACTGGATGAACATCTGTTACTTTTTTCTGGAAGGAAAAGAATGTTGGTATCAAATCAAAGGCACAGATGGGTTTTTTAATGCAGGTATTTCAGTAACTACTGCCTCAGATGCTTGTGTGAAAGTGAGATGTATTTTTTTTTGTAAGTTGTTTTTACTAGGTTTGGTATGGAAACATCTTATCAATAAAATTGAAGATCTAGAAGAAGAATTAGTTCAGGCAGTAAACAGAAACTTCTGGCAGTGGGGTTTAGGAAGTAGAAACACCTGTCAGGACTTCATGTAGGGGAAAGACTTAACTCCAAATTCGTACAGTTAGAAAATGAAAAGCTTAAAATACTTGTAAATAAAAAGTGATATGTTACATGTGGTAACAGGCATCTGCATAACATACATCACATTTATATGTGAACACTTGAAGATAGAAGTAATAAGTGATTTCAGGTAGATAGAAGGAAAAAAGGCAGCGTTTATGACTAATCGGTCTCCATATTTTCCTCAGATGTTACTTGGGTAGTGTCCAAAAACATCTTGTCCTGTTGCCTTGGGAATGCTGTGTGTACACACTGACACTGGGACACAGGAGAGCTGGTCATAAAAACAAGAGCTCACATAAGGCAGCATTTAGGAGATTGTGTCAAAGGTTTATTCTCAAGATGTTGTGAGGAGTCCACATTTTGCCCATACTTTTTCTTGGTTTGCTTGTGTTGCTGGAGGAAATGATCTGTGTTTCACTGAACACTTGAAAGGAGTGGCAAGGGTGGGATTTTTTAATTGTTTTGTTTGGTTTTGTTTTTTAATTCGCTATGGCTATGTTTATCTCTTGGTTTAGGACAAAACATTTGGCCTAAAGAATAAAAAAGGTGCAAAGCAGCAGAAGTTTATCAAGGCTGTGACTCACCAGGTGAAGTTTGGTCAGCAAAATCCCCGTCAGGTAAGCATTTATTGTCCAGTGTTTATTGTAATTTTAAGTGGAAACAAGTCTGAATCTATTTAGTGAACTGTTTGGTCTAAGAAGCTGAAATTATGAGCCACTGCCTGCTACTTTGCTCTTCTGTATGATGAAATAAAATGAGGTACAATGGTTAGATTATACTTAATCAGAAAACATGGATTTAGTGGAAATATTATAATGGAAATGATGCAGGTCTCTTATTTTCTCGGTGCTGGGGAGGCTGGTTGTTAATTATTTACAGGGCTTTCTGTTCTATGAATAAGTCTGTAGAATAATTACATTTTGTCAGCTAAAGTTGTGATGTCATGATGCATTCCTTGAATAACATAAGGATGAACTAACAGATGTCAGGTACAATTTGAAAAGTAAAGCTGATATTCAGGTCATTAGATCTCGGAATTTCTTGTAGTGGAAAAGATTCCTTGATGTCACTTGAAAAACATTGGTGGTGTTCAAACAGTTCTTCTGAAACTTGTCCATGAAATCCCTGGATCTGTGGCATGTATAGGAATACCAGTGTGTAAATAAGCCAGCCTAAAGTCATTTATTTCTTAAATGCTGGTAGCTATTGACTGATGGATGGCAGAAGCAAATTTTTAAACCTGATTATACCTTTCTTACCTTATAAAATAGCTTTCAGTTAAGGCTGTCCCTGAGAAAGAAAGCATTTTAAAGCAATTTTCCTCGTGTCCTGAAATGAAAATGAAAATGCTGCCAGAGTTTTGGCCTTGGTGTTTGGGGTTTTTTTTTGTTGGTTTGTATTTTTAGTTTCTTTGGCTTTTGGGGGTTTTGTTTGGTTTTGTTGTTTTGTTTCTTTTTATAGACAAGCTTCATCTTCATGCCTTTAGAACCCTAGGGTGAAACAAAAGCATTCTGAAGTATTACTTTTCTATGGTTGACATACATGGGTCTGCATGTTATATAGAATAGCATTTGTTAACCTTCAGTATGAAAACTCACCAAGCTGCGAATTCCCTTCTAAAATGTTTTGAGAAATTCACAGAAATTCTAAGAACAAAGATCCTTTTTTAACATTACACTGTATTTCAGAAAAAAGTACCCCACATATGCAGTGGTGTTAGTCTCACCAGCTTCCCATAAGGATAACAGTCAAATAATCACAGAATCATTAAGGGTGGAGAAGACCTCTGAGATTGAGTGCAGACATTACCCAGCATCACTAAACCTCATTCCCAAGTGCCATATCCACACATTTTTGAACACTTTCAGGGATGATGACTCCACCACTTCCCTGGGCAGCCTGTTCCAATGCTTGACCACCCTTTCAGTGAAGGAATTTTTCCCAATAACCAAGCTAAACGTTCTCTGGTGCAACTTGAGGCCATTTCCTCTTATCCTGTCGCTTGTTACCTTGGAAAAGAGACTGCCCCCCACCTTGCTACAACCTCCTTTTGTATCTGACCTAATAATGTTTCTCCTGTATCCTCTTCATCTGGTTTCAAACCACTCTGGCATGGATACAGGCCTTCTCTGGCTTATCCAAAAAAGGGTGAGGCAGTCAGGTTTTTTTCCTTACACATAAACTTTTTCTTTCCTAGGTGAGCTTGTTTTCCAGCCCTTGGCCCCTGGGGCCTGTAGAATGTGCTGCATTATAAACCACTTGAGGATGTGGAATTGATGTAGATTGCAATGGTGTTTTAAAAGCAGTTCCTAAATTCTGTGGAGAGCTTTCCTGGAACTGCTGCTGGTGAACAGGAAGAGAAAGAGCAAAGCAGTGTGGAGGAGCCTAAAAGGAAAAGGCTTTTTGCACAGATCTGGAAGGAGCTGCTCTGAGTAGTTGCACTGCAGAAGAGCAGTGAATCTCTTGTCTCTCAGTGACTTTCCTACCTTAAAGGTGGAGTAGAGGTCACTGTGGCACTAAAAGTATCTGCCAGCATCCCACTGCTCTGGCAGATTTGCAGTCCCTCCTGTGTGACAGGTCAGTGCACACAAGGGCAGCAAGTCTGAGCCTTCCAGGCATCACAGGTTCTTTCCCTTCTCCCCTCCTCAAAAACTGATTTAGAATGATTGGCTGTTTTAACGTGCAGTTCTTGTGAAGTGAGTCCTGGCATTCTAATTTTACATTTGTAACTTTGAATTTGGGGTCGTTATAGGCTGCTCAAACAGAAAGTGAGAAGAAATTAAAAAAAGAAGACAAGAAGAAGGAATTACAAGAATTAAATGAGCTCTTCAAGCCTGTGGTTGCTGCACAGAAAATTAGCAAAGGTATGACTGACTGATTTCTCTGCATTTATATTCTCTTATTCATACAGCTACTTGAGGTAGAATAAGCCTTCAAAAACACCAGCTGATATTTTAATAAAGTAAATGTGACTGTTTCCTTCCCCATCTAGTGTACCAAGCAGTTTGTCAGTAATGATTTGGGTTTTTTTTAGGAAGTTATCTGGGGTCATTAGATCATTAGAATATCAAAAGCTACACTGATACTGACTGGGAAGCTGAAGATACTTCGATGTTTCTGGTTCATCAATTGGATGTTTCTGGATGTGTGGCATGACTTTTGTGTGTGTGATGGTATTTAAAGCAGCCTGTCTCCTCAGGGAAGTGTGAACACCCAGGTATTGCAAGGAATATAAGGTGATAACTGTTTTCTTCACAGAAAACTGGTGCTGAAATCAGAACAGTAAAAAATTTCCAGTTCTTTCTGTCTGACCTCACAATTAGCAGTGGTGCTTGGTTTTGGAAGTGTGTTTTGTCTTGAGCTTGGTTATTGAACAAACTTAGTTTTGTGATGAAATCTAAGTTTTTGTTAAAACAATTCTGTGTTTGACACTTGTAGGAAACTCTACAATTGACTGCCATGTGAGGAAAAAACATAATACCTGTGGGACTGAACTAAATGTTTTCAACTCTATTCATTTTCTGGAACACATGAAATCATGTGCAGTAATTTTTGACAAAATAAATGTGATTTCCTTGCATGTTTTTAAGGCAAACCTGATACTTGCTCCTTGTGATCAGCAACAAGGGGCAGTTTCCTGTTTATGATCTGCAGTGATCAGCTTTCTCTAAATAAAGTAGCTTTTGACTTCAAGTGATTTCAGAAGACTAATATTGCCCAGATTTTTAGATTACATTTTAAACAGGTGTTGCTGTACCTGCTTTTGTCACTGGTGGGTCTCACCAAGAGTGAAAGCAGCAAGTGAAAAACTCAAGCTTAAAATCTGTATTTACTGAATATTACAAGTCAAATATTTCTCATTTAGTCATGTCACATAAATACATTTTTACCTGATTTCATTGCTTTTCCTAATGACCTCCTAATGGTCAAATAATTCTTTAGTGTCATGGTTTTTATTTACCCTGTAGTTAGATTCATTGAATTGTTTGTTCTATTATAAAAGTTTTTTTTGGGGGGGACTATGATCAGCCATCTTATTTCTATTATTGAAGAAAGTGGTCTGAATGGGTGCAGGTTAAATTGTTATAATTTTTTCTAGTGTTTTCTTGATCTGTTGGGGAAAGGGTAACATTCAGAAGATGCTTTACTGTGTATTAGAGACAAGAATAGGGAAGAAGTTGCACAGTGATCTCTTATGTGTTGTATTATATAAATAAATAATTTGCTCAGGCACACTGCTGTCCATATTTCTTTAAATAGTCAAGTGCCAGCTTTGATACTTGATGCAAATATCATGCAATAAAAGTAAGTATGACATGTTATTTTAAGAAGGCATATATATTCATGTTATTTTAAAAAGGCATTTTCATTCTCTATAAATCCTAGATATTGTTCTCAGAATTTCTAATGTATAGATTTTGCTAAGAAATAATGTTAAAATAGAAAAACTTTCTTCACTCAGGTGCTGACCCCAAATCTGTAGTTTGTGCTTTCTTCAAGCAAGGGCAGTGCACTAAAGGAGACAAGTGCAAGTTTTCTCATGATTTGTCTTTGGAAAGGAAGTGTGAAAAACGGAGTGTCTACATTGATGCAAGAGATGAAGACCTTGAAAAAGGTAGAATACTTTTAGAAAGTTTGATCCTCAAGTTATATGATCTGACCTTCTGGATGTCACCTTCCAACCTTACCTTTTTTTTTCAGTTGTCATATTATTTTTTTTTTATTTCTTTTCCCTTGTCCATGCTGAATACTGTACAGGTGGAATGACACATTATTTAGTTTTTAACTGAAACACATTCTATGCATTTCAAAACTCAGGCTTTTGAGGAAATTGTCTTGTGAGCGGCATTGGGGAATTTGAAAACTTTAAGAGCCTGCATTTATTTTCCATTGTATAAGCTAGCTAAAATAGAAGAATTGCATATTTTATGAAACTATTACTAGGCAGAAAAGCAACTTGACAGCAGTGTTCAGTACTTGGAATTTTTATGAAACCATCTGTTGTCTTTTTCTAGATACAATGGACAACTGGGATGAGAAGAAGCTGGAGGAAGTGGTGAACAAGAAGCATGGTGAGGCAGAAAAGAAAAAACCCAAAACCCAAATAGTAGGTGGTCTGTCTTTCTTTTCTTTTTTTTTTCTGTAATTGAGCTGTAGTAGAGGGAATTAAGTGCAGACTGGTATTAGATATGTTAATCTAAAGATTTTGAATGGAATCTCATTACTATATTCTGAGGGCTGGGTTGATAGTATCTCTAATAATATATGTTTTTAAAAAAGGAAAAAAAACAACCCCAAAGGTCTTTTCAGTCATCTTGTGTTCTCATGTAAGTTACAAATGGATAGTAGGTAAACTACTTTCAAAATAGAAATGCTGAAGGACTCAGTAATAATCTAAGGCAACCTACTTGGTTAGAAGATTTACATATTGTAATTAATTAAGTCTATCATCTCATTGCAGTGACTGCCATATAATTGGCTTATTTTTGTACTGGGTGACATACAAGCATTAGAAGTTTTAAAACTTTCTCCTTTATGTTGGAATTTGCTGATTGAGTCATTTGTAATTCCTGGGCTCTAAGTTCAACAATATTCTTCAGTTTTGCATTAAATGGCATAATGTGTTAATCCTTTTCTCGTTCTTCTTTGTTTACTTTTTTTAATAGCAATGCATGTCACACATTCCTTCTGTTTTGAGCACAGCTGAATTTTTGAATTGCTGAACTTCTGTGGTGTTAAAATGCTGAGGATGAAAAGAGAAAACACAGGGCTAACCACCCTTGTTTTATACAGGTCTGCAAATATTTCCTTGATGCTATTGAAAACAACAAATACGGGTGGTTTTGGGTCTGTCCAGGAGGAGGAGACAACTGTATGTACCGTCATGCTCTGCCTCCAGGCTTTGTGTTAAAAAAAGACAAAAAGAAGGAGGAAAAGCAAGATGAAATTTCCTTAGAAGACTTAATAGAAAAAGAGGTAAAGTTGTCAGACAGGTGCCTCTTGGTGGTAGTTGTTTTTTACTGTTGTTCTACTCTGAAGAGACAGATGTAAAAAACCCGCTAATTTCCAATTAAAAACTGTAAGATGTTGTTCCAGCTGTAAGAGCTAAGGGGAAGATGTGTACTAGTGATTCATGGCTTTGTTTAGAAAGCATTACCTAGTGAAGAGAACTAACTATAGCAGCATATGCAGCTGTTGCTTATGCTTTTTTAGGAGGATTCTATTTCTTACTGCTATTTCTCATTTATCTATTACAACAAAGGCTTCTGGGGCCTTTCTCATCCCCAGCTCGGTCTCCTTAGTTCTGCCATAACTCTTTAATGAGGAAGCAACACCAAGAGCTTTCTGAAGGTGTTGCTGCTCTGCTTATTTCTGTCTCCATTGCTTGGCAGTGTCATTGTGACAAGAACTGAGCTATTATTGTTGCTTTCTTTCCTCCTTCACTTTCCCTCTCAATTTTCACCTCAACTCATCTCACTAACGGTGGAAAATCACATGTTGAGTCAAACAGTAAGATGATGCTGCAGGTTTGACAGTGCTAAGAGTCAAGAAAGAATTGGAAAGAAATGCTTTCTATTGGTTCCTGGAAAAGTGTAATTAAATTTTAATTTGTTAGAGCCTTTGGGAAGAGTTTCTAGCATTAATCAATCCCTTTCCTTGACAGCGTGCTGCCTTAGGACCAAATGTTACCAAAATTACTCTAGAGTGTTTTATTGCGTGGAAGAGAAGAAAAAGACAAGAAAAAATTGATAAGGCTGAGCAAGATATGGAGAGGAGGAAAGCAGATTTTAAAGCTGGCAAAGCATTGGTGGTAAGTTCTACAGTCCATTTCTTAATGTAAGAAGAGGGAGTAAATACAGTTTCGTAATAAGGTATCTGGCCTGGAATTGCTTGGCTTTATTTAGTATCCTTTTCTTTTCCTTCCTTTTCTGTGGTTTGGGGTATTTTTAAGCAGTATAAATTCCTTGAAGTGTAATAACTGAAGGTTTCTTTTCCTGTGGACAGATTAGTGGACGTGAAGTATTCGAGTTCCGGCCAGAGCTGGTTGATGCAGACGATGAAGAAGCAGATGACACCCATTATGTTCAAGGAGCAGGAGATGATGATGAGGTAAAGAACACTTCAGTTGCATTCAAATTTGAAAGCTTTTCATTTGAGAACTCTTACAGTGCAGTTAGTAGGGTTGGTTCTTAATTTAATATTGCCACAGAGTAGATTTGATCAGAATGTTTGTGTCGAAGGTGGGAAAGGTTGTTGCAATTGTGCAGAAGTGAGGACTTTTGTGGAAAAGCAGTTCTGTATTTTTCAGATGGAAGACCCTGTGTGCATAAATGATGTGGATTTGAACCTGTATGTCCCCAAGGCAGTGGAGGAGACTGGTATTACAGTGGCTAGTCCTGAGCGATTCAGCACGTACACTTCAGTAGAAAAAGATGGTAAGTTCTTCACTGAGGCCTCACTAACAGAGGATTGTTAGTCAGGAGATTGCCCAAGGTAGATGGCAATTTGACTCCCCCACCCTTTTTAAACCAATAATTCAGTTCTCTTAGTGGTACGTGTAGTTACTAAAGCAAAGGCTTGTAGTAAATGCTATGTACTTACCTTCTTAAATTCAAGTTTAAATAAAAGTCATTGTTTATGGCCACTTCTAGTACCTCTCTAAGGGGCTTGTTCTAAGTTCACCTTTTTTTTCTTTTTGGATTTTTGTAAACCATAGAATGAACAATATAAGAAAGATCCAAGCTTTTATTTGCTGCTTTTTTTTTTCTATTTAGCTTGTAACTTCTTAGAATAAAGTCCTGATCTTGGTGCACTTACGGATTGCATGCCCCAATCTTTAAGAGCAAGAATCTTTCAACTGCAGACATTGGGTAGGAGCAGCACATTGTTTGACCCAGTTATGAAAACAGCAGTTTGAGGAGATGGGAGGTGGAGTTATTTCAGGTTTTTTTCCACCTGTTTTCATAATTGGTTATCCAGACCTGCATGTTAACCATGTACATGCAATTTAACCAATATAAGTCTACATGAATTTCAAATAAAGTAACTTCCACACAGTCTCAAAACTTGACAGCAGGTTTAGTAGGATTGTGAATTTGAATTGGTGATTAGGAAACTTGTGACACTGAAATCCCTAAGAATTATGTTTATTTGCAGATAATAAATTAAGTGAAGCTTCTGGTGGTGATATAAACAGCAGCGAGCAAAATGATTTAGAGGAAGATAATGATGGAGATGGGGAATTGGAAAATGGAGTAATTGATGCTGTTCCAGTTGATGAAAATCTGTTTACTGGAGAGGACTTGGATGAACTAGAAGAAGAACTAAACACTCTTGATTTAGAAGAATGAACTAAAAAGCTCAAGTGAGGAATTAAATCTCTGTGACAAAGTGAAAACTGACTACATTTTTTCTCCTTTTTGAATAGAATTCTTAAACAGGATGTTTTTCGTTATGCAGCTGAATATGATGGGCACGTGGTATCCCAGGAATGTTTTCCTTCAATCTCATCTACTCCAGTCTTGACTTATGTTCACAGTAAAACTTTCAGAGTAGGTCAGAGTTACTCGACAGCTGAATTTGCAGACAGTGAGATTAGAACTTTCCACTAAAAGTAAGAAGTGTAACTGCTTTGCCAGTATGCAAGTGGGCAATTTGACACCAGGTACAGTATAAAAATCCAAGTATTCATTCTTCACAGAAATTGCATTTTTATTAGTGATTGTGTTGATTTAGAAACTGCCTGAAGTGGTTTTTAGGCAGGACACTCTAATGGAGCTGATGCAGATTATGCTTCTTTAAGTGGTGATTAGCTTTACTTGATCAGCTGGATTACTGAAGATTGTCAACTGATAGATCATACAATACAATGTGGTGCCCTCTGTTTAAAATATTTTAAACTTTCTCACCACCTTTTGCCAATAAATCTGTAAATAAAAACTATCAACTTTAAAATACCTGTGTTGATTTTTCTCTGCTGAGTTAGGATATCATACCAAACTGTTAAGAACTGGTTTTTCTAATAGAGTGGTAAATGTTTTTCTCTGCAGTCTTGATACAGAAGTGATGATGTTGGCTTCAGTTAAATTTGGATTACCTGTAGTTACAATTTTTTCCCCTGCACTCAATGCAGTGTAAAATTCAGCAGCCGGCTTTTCTCCCTTCCTGTTCTTCCTTCCTGCCCACCTGTGAACTGATGTGATACCTGCTGTGCATCGCTCCCTGCCATTCCAGCCTCCTTCTTTCCCACTGTCTTTTGTAGACTAGTGAAGACTCCAGGCTCTGCAGAGCAGGGATGTTGAGGTCCAGACAATGCCTGGCTTGCCTTTGGAGTGCTGGAAATAGCAGGAGGTTGTGCAGGGCTGAGTTTCCTGAGGGCAGAGCAGTGCTGTCCCCTGTCAGGCTGCCATCCAGCCAGTGTGTCCTTTCCCAAAGGATTGAGGCCCTGCCATAAAGGTGATGCTTTCACAGGCTGTGTCTCCTTGCCATAATACCAATAATATCTGCAACAATATAGCTGTACTAAAGATACCATTTGTATCAATTTTTCAAAAGCTTTTAAAGTACTACTTAAAGGCCATTAAGAGTCGAGGTGGTGTTGTTGAGCTTTCCCAACCTGCTTTTGGGTGGGAATATTGGCTTTAATGGTTATTTCTGGCACTGCTGAATTGACTCTTGTACCCTGAATGCTATTTCTAAATTAGCTGACTTAGACTGTTTTTTTGCCCTTTTTGGGATCTTTGTGGAATTCGTTTTCTCCTGTAGGAACAAGAAGCAGTACTTGGGAGAAAGAGGCCTGCAGAACTTGACTTCTAAATGTAAGTGTTTAAGGAAAAGCTACAATATCAGATGGAAATATTTATTTATGCAGATTTTTTCTCCCCGTGGCCATAAATAAACAGTGTTGACGGATTGTTGTATTATACTGGCCAGCAATAGGATGCCTGGCCATCAGGACACTTAAGAATGCAATTCATTTGAATGTATGTTGCATAATTTTTCAAAGTTGTATATTTTAAATGGGAATAAAAGTAATTTAATCATTATCAAGGATGAGAATGGCTTTCTATATGTTGTGACTTAAAGGTTGTTTTTTTGCATATAATACTCATTTCTATAGTACTGATGTGCTTCACTGATATAAATAGGTCAAGCCTTTGCCAAAATTCTGTTCGTGTTACTTATTTGCATTTTACAGTGGAGGAATGACAGGGTGACTCATACCAATTTCAGCTAATAAAACACAGATGAGCAGAGAGAGAGTGTCCTTTTGGGTCTAAAGGGCTTGGTTGTGGTGCACAACTCCTTTGTGCAGGTGTTAGTTAAGCATTAGGACAGTCACCTTGCTTAGTCCTGAAATACATTAAATATCCCTGAGTTAGTTGAAGAAAACCTGATTTTCCTAGGCAGGAGTTGTTGACAGATGGCTTCATGTGGGCAGGAAACAATAGTTCTCTGTCCCTGTTTTGGTTTTTACCCTCTTTCCTCTCAACTTACTCTGGCTAAGCTTGTTCTGGCCCCTTGGCTTGGTTGCTCTGCCTGGATTTCCACCTGTGGAAGCAGTGACTGCTTTTAGAGGGTTCCTTGTTAGTGCTCATTCAGACAGACTCCTGAAGGTGAGTTGCAGTGTGTTGTGCTACATGTTCCTTCTGCTCACAGGTAGGCTTGAATATAACCTGCTAAAGGTCCTGAATCTTCAGAGTTAAAGAGGCCCAAATTTGCAGCTGACAGGGAGTTTCAGACAATAAATGTCAATTAAAAATAAATGCCAAGGCCTTGCTTGGGGTAGATGAACCATTAATGTTTTGGAAAGGAGTGCTGTGATAGGAGGGAGTTCACCCGGGTATGACATCACTAAGTTGTTCCTATTGATGCAAACTTCACCAAATTAGTCTGATATCAAGTGAATGAGTCACTTCTGGAAAAACGAGATATAATCTGAATCCCAAAATAATAGTGTTTTCATTTCAGTGACTGTCCGGTTATTATGGGTCAAAAATAGAGTATTTCCTTGTTCCAGGAGCAGGAAGACTCAGTTCAGGACACACACTGGGTTCAGGTCAGGCTGTAAAGCACCATAAGCTGGGTAAGTTTGTAGCCCTTGCAGCCTGGGCCCTGTTTGTGTCATCTTGGTGTTCTCCTACCTTAGGTGAGCACTCCATGAGCAATGTGATGGAGCTGTGGTTTGAGCATCTCCTGAGGGAACATGCTGGTGTAGCACCCTGCCTTCACAGCACCTTTGGTACTGGGCACAAAAAACAATTGTGGGGACAAAAAAACCATTTAAAAAAATGCTGCAGTAAACCCATGCCTTTCCTTCCTGGTGTTTGCTGTTGTGGGGGTGGAGTATTTGTTGACTTTCAACTTCAGTGTATGTTAAAATCCCATTTCAGTCACGCACACAAACTGCTTGCCCTGCTGTAACTGGCTGGTTTTAAATTCAGTTAAGTTTGGGGGGTTGTTTGAGACCCATGTGATTGAATTTTGTGCTTGTCACTGCTTTGTTATTCAGAGCTCCCTACTTTTTTTTTAATAATAAACACTGTGCACAAAGGGCTGGAAAAAATTTGGTTAAAAATTAAAGGTAAAAACTGACCTTAAATATGACATTATCTATGAGTTGTTTGTAATAGAAATGTTACTGTTTTTTTTTAGTGGACAATGCTCCCCAGCTGCTTTTTATCAAGGGGAGGCTTTGCTATTGATAAACTTTGGACCAAGCAGTGGTACTTTTCTTGGCAATCCAGTATTGTCATAATAGCTTGTGCTTGTTTGGTGTATTGGTTACAGAAAGAATGTACACATACAAATTAGTATGTTTATTCATCTTTCCTTTCACAGTTCTTTAGTCAGATGTGGAATAATAAGTGTCAAAAAAAACCCTACGTCTCAGACATTCTGAATGCTGAGTTCTAATTCTTTTGCAATGCCAATGTTCCTTTTTAAAAACTACCTGAAGGCAGTAAGTAATGCAGGCTTAAATATTTTGTAAGCTTACATATCTTGCAGATAGCCTACTTGGAAGTTTTATAAACAGTGTTTCTTATTCCTGTTCCCTGTGCTGCTTTGTACTAACTTACTGAAACTGCAGAGTGATCAAACAACTAAACTAAAAGATTAGGTCTTTGTTTTCCTCACAGTGAAATTACTACAGCCCTAATGTCTTTCAGTTGTGAAGAACACAGTCTCTTGATGTATTTCAGTGCTAGAAACAGGGTTTTTTTCCAAAATTAAAAGCTTTCTCTCTAAACATGCTTCATTTTTCTGCTACTAATGGGGAAAATCTTTCATAAAGCAAATGCTTCATGAATGAAGTATTTGAATGGAGTCTTTGCTTCTGGTTGGGTACCAGGGGTGTTTTTTGTAGCTGTGATCACCTAAAGTGCTTTTACAGTGATATCTGCAAATCACCCTTCTCTTTTTTTCCTCTCCCACTTGTATTAGAGGTTTAGAAGAGACCTTGGCTTAGCCTGTCACACTTAGTTCTTTCCTTTCAATAGATGCTCTGTCTCTTTACAGAGAGCAGCTGTTGCTGGTGGTAGCAATAAGGCCAGGATGTTTTATTCATTTATGATGTTACAGCCCTAATATGTGACCACAATAGGCTCCTTCATAGCACATTATTGAAATGAATGCCAAAAATAATCAGTTCTTTCAATCATAAAACAGCAGCAGCATCTCATTTGTGTTTAGGGAAAGAGACCTCGGAGATAATCTCATTATCCTACATTTTTGATTTGAAAATGCTTATGGAGTCTTGTAATACATTTGGACATAAATTTGAGCAGGGCTGGCTTAACACTGAAGAGATGTTCCCTAAGTTACCCAATCAGACTTTAAAAGCACAGCAGAGTCCTAAATTAAAGGAAGATGAAATGGAAAAGAAAGCATCACAGCTTTCCTTTAGGAAAGGAAAGAAGCAGAGGCAATCCTGAAGGGAAGATAGGAGAGAATTACTACAGAAGCTTTCCAAGTCAAAACAGTATTCTTTGGACAGTGAGCCATTAGGGAAGTGTGTTCTACAGATGCTGCATCCTTGGACCTGTGCTGGAATGAAACCAGCACATCTCTTGTAGCTGTAGAAATTCAGTTTACACCTTACATTTCTCAGGCCTCTAATGCATTTTGACAGGCTTGCTACTCTAGGGGAACTTTTGCCCTCTTCATGTTTCACCTCCATTCCTGTTTTGTTCCTTGATTTACCTTCTTGTGCTCTGAAAACAGCATATAAAGACTGGATTAAAGACATCACAGGACTTTGGTCTCTGCACAGTAACACAAATCCATTGCAACTCTCATTCACTGTTTTCTACCAATCTTGGTGATGTCTGATGTGTCAAGTAGTTCAGTTGTCTGCTTTGGGAGCAGAGGACTACTTCAGAAAGAGATGAATTGACCTCCACTATAAAAATTCCACAGCTACAACTTCAGGCCTCCTTAGAATCAGCCAAGTTTCTGGGCAAGAAACCTTTTTAATCTTCACTCTTCATCGCTTCCCTTTGCTGTCTTCTCCCTGTGCCAAGGATAAACACTGCAGAAGGGGGGCTCTTCTGACTGACCTCTCTAATCCATCCCAGCTCTCCTGGCAGTGGCTGTAATCCAGCTGCTGCCTCCCCCCTCTGGGCTCTCTGCACAGAGCAGGGCACAGCCTCTCCCAGCACTCCAGGGCTTTGTTTATCAAAGGGAGAGAAGGAGGATTAGGGAAGTTGGGCAGAATGAATAGAGCAAAGCTCTAGTTCCTCAAATATCTGGCAGACTGAAGTCAAAATAAGAGGGGACTATGAACTGTGAGGGAGCAATAGAAGTTTAACTGCTGTTGTCTCATCTTGGTGAACTGTTTCCTTGAATAAGCTTCCAGGAGGTGTCAGAGCTGCACTTTGTGGTGGTGCCACCAGCCCTACACCATGAGCTCTTCAGTTCTTTTTCTTGTCTATACAAAAAGACTATTCTGTAAATAGTGTGTCCCACACAGTGCCTTCCACACACAAATACCAAGCTGCAGTTCTACACACTTGCTATACAGGAATAATTGTCCATTCTTTGTGTGTTTGGGGAGCAGGGAGAGGCAGAATGAGGAATCTTCTCCCAAGACTGCAAGAATGAGGAAGCTTTTAAATGTGCTCTTTATTCAGGGCACGGAAGTGTCTGCAGTTTCCAGTTCTGATAGCTGTTGTCAGCATTAAGTGGCAGACTTCAGTTTGGTAGCTGCAAAAATAGTTCTTTCACCAGCAGCACCCAACTGGGAATGGATTGGAGTGACCTCCTGGCCATTGCAGGCTGATGACTTAGAAGCAAATGGTAAAAACTTTGGGAACAAAACAGATCCACACCAAACACCCTCACCCCCCTGGGAAAACCCTCTGTTAGAATGGTTAAGGATCTGATTCTGTATTGGTCAATGTTCTTTAGCTTTATTCCTTGAGAGAAACACTTTTCATTTAACTTGGCAGACATAGTCACCAGTTCTATAGATGAGGACATGCCTTGGTTTAGTACTTATGCCAGATAGGACAGGATTCCTTAGACACAAAGGAGCAAAATATAATGGCTTCAAGGTGAGGGTGAGTTGGGGTTCTTTAGGGAAAAAATGGGTATTTTTGCACGGGGAAGAGGGAGGATGTTTGAACTCAGGGGCATTCTGTAAGATGGAAATGTGTCTTCTGAAGGCCAGAGGCTGGAGCTGATGGCTGAGCTGCTATCAAGGCCTGGGGTGCCTGGGCTGAAACATTTGAAACGTTTCTTGAGAGAGAAGGGGAAGGAAATCTCTCTTTCCATGTCAGTTTGTCTTACTGCCATCTTTTAGTGCTTTTGTGTTTGAGTAAAAGAATATTCAGAGTATTGGATAGAAAGGAGCCTGGCCCTAGTTTGCTCTTCCACTGCCTTTCAATCCTACTCGCTCTGCATCCTGTTATTATTTTGCCGTTCAAGTTTTCAACATGTTCTAAGTGTGAGCTTGTTACTAAGCACAGAACAGTCTGAAGAATTATTTCTTTCCCAGGGAATTCCTAAGTTTTAAACTTGGTTTTGTTCCAAATCCTTTAGCAGGAATGTGGAAACATTACAGGAGCACTAGAGGATGGATGCTTCCAGGCAGATATGGCTTTATGTGCCTGGAATGATGAATTAAAAAGTCAAGATGACTGCTCTGTGAGTCTGACCTTTGTTAGATTACTTTGAAAACGCATGATGAAAAGAAAAATCATGGCAAAAAAAGTCAGTGAAAAAATTCCCCAGAAGTAGAAAGATTAAAAAGTTGTACATAAGAAGCTGTCACTTGTACTAAATAGGAGGTTATTTGCACTAAAGACAGGGATGGCAATATCTCAGGAATATGACAGGAAGCAGTGATCTCTGGTATTTCTGTATAACCAGAAGCAGGCAAGACTAAGAAAACAAATGTGTTCATTTTCACTAAGATTGTGCAGAGAATATTAGAGTTTGGTTTTCTGTTTTGTTTTTGTTTGTTTGTTTGTTTGGGGTTTGTTTTGTTTTGGGGGTTTTTTGTTTGTTTTTTTCCCTGATCTGTTTCTCCCTTGTTACATTATTTCCTGTCAATCCTTTATTCTCTAGAGTGAAAAAATATTGTTTAAAAATATCCTTCAAAAATATTTAAGTCTTTGGGGGCGTTACTGAGCGACATCTGGATATGTTTGTTAATCTGCTGAAGTGCTTTGTGAAGCAAAAAAAAAAAAAGAGGCACCCATGTGACTTATAATGACAAACTCATTCTGACTGAAGAAATACGAATCCTTGGGTACATCAAGCAGTGCTGTCCCTGCACTGGATGCTGTGGAATACTAATGTAAAAAAAGGCCTGGTGAGTAAGGAGTATTCTAAATAAGAAAAAAAAGGGGATGGTGGGCAGACGTTGACTAACACTGGAGTAATACAGATATCAGCATTGAGCAAATCAGAGCTGAACCCTGGCACGACTCACTTCCTTTGGAACTGGGAGATTCCAGGCTCCGTGCTGAGAGTTGTTCACCAGCATATCCAGCCATACCTTTGTTGTCCCAAGGGGAACATTGCCCTATAGCCCCAGGCTTTTGCTGACAGCTGAAGGAGATGGGGCTGATGTGGTGCATTGCTCATAGGAGCAATAAAGCAAATCAAGCCTTAACATCTCTACTGCTTTCCTTGTGTTTCTCACCCAGTAATGCTTCCACAGCTTTCAAGTTTATTGTGGGGTCTTTTTCCCGAGGAAATGAACATTAAAGATAATATTAAACAAAACAGAAATAAAAGGCAGCCACTGAGCACACCAGAGTAATATGTAAAGTCCATCTTTTTGGTTAAGTTAGGCTTATTTTCTACTGCCTTGTTAGAAACTGAGTTATTTCTTGAAAGATCTCTTCAGAGCAGCTGAGCCTCCTCATAAATCCAAGTGTCTGGGTGGCACGAGAGCAAAATATTTACTGAAACTCTCCCATCAGTGGAAGCTTTTCTGGGAGAGTAACAGCAGTATTGATGAACAGAGCAGTGGTGATCCTTCCTGTGCTCCAGATATTCATCCTGCTGGGACTGTGAAGCACTGGATCTGAAAAAGGCTGAAGCTTATTGCTTACACACAAGACATCTTGCTGAGGCTTCTCAGGTAGGACCATTGTGGTTTGCACGTGTGCAATTCTTACTGAATTGTAGCACTTTGTCCCTTTCTTGCTGTTGGGTGTAATGCCATGAGGAGGAGATATAATTGTGAAGGAAAATGTTCTGAAATACCTGATCCACGTTGCACACTCAAAATCCATGCTGGACACTCAGGAATAGGCAAAAAAAATAATACCAAAAGGTGCTTTGCATCTTGCAAAGTTTTATTCAGCTGTGTTAATGACTTATTGTACGAGTTAAAAACTAACAAGACCGATTCCTTGAGTTTGAGTAAAAATTAGCAAGAGTGATAAGTTGTGACATAATTAGTTTCATCTGTTAATAATGGAAAGCAGTTCTTTAGACGCCAAAGAATTCCAAAATAATTGTGTTTAAAACTGAATACAGACAAAAGTTTTGGTGTCTTAGGAGGAATCCCAGTCCTGCCCACTTCTTAGTGGTTGATTTTCATCACTATCTTAGCCTATCAGTCAGAAATGCAGGTAACAGGAGAGTAAATATGGAAGCGTGTAATTCATGTGTTTACATTCTGTGATATGATCTTGGTGGCTGTTGCTTATCTGTTTGTTAGTCAGGCTGAGAGCTGAACCAGCCAGGAAAGAAAAATCCTATCCTCACTGGAGGGGTGTTTCTTCCTTTGTGTTAACACCTAAGTCTGTTTTTTTGGCTCTATCCATGATTGTGTCACGCAGAGCAGCTTGATGCAGGCCATGGAATCAATCCCTTGGCCTCTCCTGTAGTAGAAAATATGTTCCCTTGATTTGGTTTTGATTGAAAGTATATCCCAAGCTGAGTCAGGATTAACAGGCTGCCTCACCTGGGTCAGCCCAGGGATGGGAGCAGCCAGATATGCACCCAAAGAGCAGCAATCTGGAAGGGAGGAAATGGTGTGAAAAGAGATTTCCCGAGGGCTGAGTAACCCCTGACTCTGTGTGAAGTCTGAGTTAAGGCTGAGTTACTCCTCTGGCCTGTCTCAGCAATTTGTTGGCAACAAGCAGTAAGGCTGCACAGCCAGTTCCTAGGTAGCCAAAATCTACCATATGGTAAAAAAATTCTAATATCTTAAAAAAAACTCTAATATCTTAAAAATAATTTATCCTTTGCTGCTTGTGCAATGCTGTGAAGTTATACAATCAAGTAGAGCAAATAAATCCTCCCTTTCCCTAAGCTACTTTCTCAAGGTACTCATAAACCCCTCTTTTCTCTTTTATTGCCCTATTTGCTAGAGTTTGGGAACTTATTAACTCATATGTTTTGATCAGATCTGTAGTACAAAAGCTGTGGGAGAAGTCAGTAAATAACAATAAGAGTTAATATTTGGTAATGTTTCTTTTTTTTACCTTTAAGGAGGCCACAAAGTTATGAAAATTAGTAACAAGTATCAAGTCTAGGTATAGGATCTTTCCCCATTTCTTGATAATAAATAATTTTTGAGTTGGCTTCCTGAAGGAATTATTACCAATTAATAGGAAGAACAAGTGACTGGAATACAGGATTACCTGGTGGGTTTTGGTGGCTTTGCCATGGATTTACTTGAACAAACCACTTCTCTTCTGTGTGCTGCTGTTTGCCAAGCTGTGACAGACCTTCCTGCAGACAGGGAAGCTGTGGGAGCAAATAAATGAAAATGTTTGGGAGTCCTTCCTTTATAGATCATGAGATTGCTGCTTAAAACCCCACATTTGAAATATACTTTTCTGGAAGTATAAATATATGAAAATATGTATTGATGTATGTATTAAATATGTATAAAATATTATTCCAGTGGACAGTGCCCCTGGGTTGTGTGAGAATGAAGGTGACTCATGTCTCTCTAGATGGGTGGAACCAGATCAGACATAAAGCATTTTTAAAGTGGAAACCCCTCAATTCACAACCTCTTTCCAATGAAATCCTCTCTCGCTTTCTACCCTTCTATTTTTTCCCCTTGTATTGGTAATTTTTCTGAATAAACTTGTTAAAAATAACTCAGCAGGTAAGTAGCAGCAGGCAAGAATCCACAGTGTACAATCCAGCATACATATTTTACATCCAGCTTTTCAAAGGTTGCCATGACTCAGCCTCTTAGTCTATTGTATTTTCTGACAGCTTCGAGACTACTTAATTTAGCTTTCATTGCTAACATAAAATCTGACTGTACTGAAATAGAACAATTAGAGCAACATGGTGGAAGGTGTCCCTGCCCATCTTTAAAGTCCCTTCCAACACAAACCATTTTATGCTAATATTGAAGTTTTTAAATTAAAGCTATTTTCTCTATTCATTTAGTGAGAAACTGAAAACATCACCCAATATCAGCGTTCAGTGCTTACCCTTGGAACCTTTATACATGACACATTTTTTTTTCTTGTGAGCCTGCCTACCATGGCTGGGTGAATGTAGGCTGTAGGTTTTTTTCCTCTTTCCTAAAGAGGAAAAAACACAGGCAGACAGCAGTGACTGTAAATTTCCACTCTGAAGGAAAACAGGAACCTGCTTCTGAGATGTGCTTCTTTGTGTTTTCTTTCTGTTAGGTCCTTGGGTTCTTTGAAGGAATAATGAATGAAAAGACAATGTTAATGCACACAGTTCAAAGTTTTAATATACTGCTTTTGTCTACGCTGAATTAACCCAATTCCATCACAACTTTGGGAATACTCAATGATTACAAAATCCTGTCTCTTCAGTAGGTTAACTAGCAGTTCTATAACAAACATCTTTCTTCTGACTGTATTAAGTGGCCTGCCATTATTCCTGATCATTTTAATTATTTTCTGCCATGATGATTGTTCTCCATTGAAAGCATTCTCAGTAAGTGGCTTCTAATTTCGCTCACTCTGAATCTTGTTGGCTCTGCCTGATGCATCTGATCTTTTTAGAACTGAGCCTGTGAAAGTCCACTTACAGCCAGTTTAATGGATTTGAAAGTAAAATGATCTCTTTAGAATCTCAGTCCTAAACTTCACCAATGGTACCCATATCCAAAGAGTGTGTATCTTAGGAAGTCTTTCTAACTGGTGTAACTTCCATTCTTCACACAAGCATCTTAAGTTAGGGTTTTCACCTTCTTGTTGCAGCTATTGTGCTACAATTAATCCTCTCTATTAGAGGCCTCAGCACAGACTCTCTACAACCCGATATGTTTTCTGAGACCTTTTCTTGGATTACTCTGTGGGTTTTGTTGTGCTTATTCCATAAATGTTTTTATTTTGGCACTCCTGTAACACTGAATCTATCCCTTGGTAAATATGTGTGGGATATTTTAAACTTTCATTTAGGGCTCGAAACATCATTATTTATTGTTACTTTTTATCATGCTCCCATAAAAAAAAAAAAAGCAAACCTAAAAGTTAAGACTTTTTGTGGCAACAGGGGAAAGGTGATTCAACTACAATCCTGTTAGGGTATACAAGTTAATATTCTGAATTAATATGAACTGTTTCCACTTTATAGGTGTTCCAGCATGTTTTCTTTTACCTGAAACACTGCTGTACTGAGCACATGTTTAACTGTGTTGGCTGATGCTGGGTTTGATAGCAGCCTCCAGCTGCCTGAGCTTTGCTGATGGTGCTGGAACATTATTAGTGACAGATGATCCGAGGGCCACAAACTGTGACTGCAGAGACTGAGGCTGCCCCGGATGCTGCTTCCCCAGGTGGGTAGGAACGGGAGCCAAGATCTCCATTAGAGAGGATTTACAGACTCAGCTCTGCACCTGCTGCTGGGCATCCCTGTTGCTGGGGAGGAGCTGTGACCCTGGGATTTAAAATTACTTCGTTTAATAGCCTTTGTGCTTGAAAATGTGGTTTTGGGGCTTTTCTTTCCTCCATGGCTGGGTCCACACTCGCCCTTCCTTCACTCTGCTTGTGTTAACAGCTTTCCTTAAAGACCATCTCCCAGCCTTGTTCAGAAAGACTTTTTGGGACCAGGCACAGATGTGTCCCACTCTTCTTATTTCCAGCGCTGCTTTACAGACTCACAGAATGGTCTGTGTTGGAAGGGGGGACTTTAAAAATCATCTATTTCCACCCCCCCCGCCGTGGGCAGGGACACCTTCCACTGGGCCAGGTTGCTCAGAGCCCCATCCAACCTGGCCTTGAGCATCGCCAGGGATGGGGCAGACAGAGCTTCTCTGGGCAACCTGGGAAGAATTTCCCGGACTTCTCCCAGCCTTCTGCTCCTGCAGGACGAGGCTGGGTAGCCCAGCCCGGTGCGGGTAGGGCCGTGCCCCCCCCCGGCGCTCCCGGCGGAAGGAGCGGCGGCCCGGGCGCGGAGCGGAGCAGGGCCCGCCCCCGGCACCACATGATGCCGCCTCTCCTTCCTGCCGGCCCGTCCCGAGCCGAAAGGGGAAGTGGCTGCGCTCCCTCCCGTCCCCGCCCCGCCGCGGGAAACGCGGCCCCTCCGCCCCCCTCGGCCCGGGGCCGGCGCGTCCCGTCCCGTCCCGGCAGAGCCGCGCCCGGAGCAGCGGGGCCGGGCCATGGCGCGGCGGGGGGTGATGCTGCTCCCGCTGGAGGCGATGCCCGTCCTGCTGGTCCTGCTGGGAGCCGCGCTGCGCCCGGCCGGTGCCTTCAACCTGGACGTGGAGCGCCCGGCCGTCTACTCGGGCCCGGCGGGCAGCTACTTCGGCTTCGCCGTGGACTTCTTCGCTCCCGACCCGTCCTCGTAAGTGCCCGTCCCGTTCCTGCCCCCGCCGAGCCGCTCTGGCGGCGCCGGAGCCGGGGAGGTGTTGTCCTGGCGGAGGATGGGGCAGGGCGATGCGGCGGCCGGAGCAGCCCCGGTGCCGCTGGTCCAGCCGGGCCGGGAGAGCTGGGATGCTTCGCTCAGGCCCTCCCCGGGGCTCGGATGGAGCCGCGCCCCGTCCCCTGCCGTGCCCAGCAGGGGCCAGTCCGCATCCCTCCCTCCCCGTGGCGGCTCTGGATGCCCAGACCCCCTTCCCGGGGAGCCAGACCCAGTCCCGGGCTTCGGCGCTGCGGGATTCTCTGCGTAGCCTGGTCTCATGCAGATGATGGTCATGGTAAATACTGTGTAGGAAGGTGAAGGTTTGGGATTTTGCTTCCTGAGGTGGCATTTCAGGAGTTCTGCCGTTTGACTGCGCTTTGCGTTCGTGGCGAGTTTGGGTTGTGCGGTGTTTGTGCGGGTCACTGAGCTGCTAAGGAGGCAGCGAGGGGAAGGAAAAGTTCCATGTAAGCACCTTCCACATCTGCTTCCTGCATATGTTCCCGTTTCACGTTAAAGATTAGGCAGTGTGTAGTAGCTGGTGCGTTTCAGACCTTTGAATCCTCGTGTTGCCAGAATGAATTTAGGCTCTGGTTCTCAAGTGCGGGGCTGCAGTAACATCCAGCTTTTGCCACTTTCCCTATACACACTCCTTTCCCATCTTATGAAAGGGCTGTAAAACTGGAGAAGCTGCTGGCTTTTGTCGTGCTGAGGGGATATTCTCTCTCTCCCTCTTAATCTTTAGCTCATAAACAAATCCTGTAAGTATTGAGCAAGTCTTTTTGCAGTACAGCATCTAGCCTTGTTTGCATTTCATTAATGCCTACATATATTAGAAGCCGTCCTGTCTTAACTTGCACGTGTTGCACCATCTTTCTGTGCTATCTTAATCCTGTAAGTCTTCGTACTAAAAGAAAAAAGGTTCTATTTTTGTCCCTCCCCATATTTTTAAGTCAGCATGTGTGGCTGCGGAGTTATCAAGAGACTGGTAAATGCCCGTAATAAACTTTCTTACTTGCTTTCTGATAAGGAATTATGTGACTCAGGTCTCCATGAAATCACTATTTGGAAGCTTTCCATTATTTTTATAAGAACTATTGACCTTAAAATGCACTGCTGTAAAAGAGAACAGTGTGGTTTTCAGGCAGCATGGTAGACTCCTGCGTATTTGTAAGGGAATTTTCTCCTCAGCTTTTTTGTTGTCACTGAAAGTTTGTTTGTACTTGCTAAGCTAAGCACTTTATCTTAAGCCCTTAGTTGAAACAAAGTAGCTATGCAACTTTTATGGGAACAGACTCCAGTGGTGTTCAATTTTGAGTTTATTCCCGTGGACACTGATATTTTGCCTCCTGAAGTGGCCAAAAATACTTGTATGCAGGGTTTTATTGAGCATCATGTGTGTCACTTGGTTGGTTCCTATTCCTTTCTTTTTGCTTTGGTGAATTTTTATCACCTGTTCTTTACTTGAGTATGAGAGATCATATGAGTTTAGTCAAGCTAAAGCTTGACTAAAAGATTGACTAGCCTGACAACAAAGGCATGTTACTAGTTCTTGAATGCTCAAGCTGCTGTTTCATAGTCTATTTTGACCTGCTGGATGCCAAACTAAAGCATATTTAGAAGTCCAGGATGGAAGTTCTATTCCAGGAGTCACAAAATCTGCTTATTTGGTCTATGCTGATAGAAATGCAGGTTTTTTTACTTTGGGAAATGAGGTGACTAAAGCTTTGTTGTGTCCCATAATGATTCCTGTGTTTTTAATCTTATTAATAAACTTCATCACAAAGGTTATCTTAAGAAAAATTTAAAATGTATTATTAGAATGGTAAAGATTTAAGTCTTTAAACATACATTTCATTTGGGGGACTTCTGAAAAGCTAGTGGTGCAAGAGTAAAACAGGAGGCAAGCTTGGTAGCTTGTTAAATGATTGTAATTATAGTAATTGATTTTTTTTATTATTTGGCATTATGGTGTTTATTTTTAAGCCCAGAGAGAACATTTTAAGTTGATTAAAGTGTTTCAAATTCCTGTTATTGAAATCTAGACAGTCTATGAATGGCAACTAAGGAAAACAAATGGGTTGCCAATGAGCCCGGATTTTCTATCAGGGTCCACGCCAGGAAATTTTTGAAGGTTCTGAAAATTCACACAGGTTGAAAACTAGTAGCTTGTGTTGGTCTTTGTATTAATTGAGCTTTGATGAGGTGCTACGTGTTTATGCCTGGTATTTACGTGTTAAGAAACACAAACTCATGTCTGTACCAAAAGGAGCTTGGAGCTCTTTCCATCTCCAAGCCTGGGGATGACTCTGAAACCAGAGCAAATTTGATAAGCCTGGATTTGCTTGCCTGTAGAGATTGTCTCCAACCAGTCCTGCAGCTTGTTCAGCTAAACCAATTTCAAAACTAAAGAACCATAGTGCCTGATAAGACTTGCTCTTGGAAGCTGAATCTCCTCTTAGGCACTCTAAGCGGTAGCAAGGAGCAGACAGGTTCTGAGGAAAGGAAGCATTTGATTTTGTCTTCTCTGCACTTCTTTATGCTTCAAATTGACTTCCTCAAGTAAGTGCTGATGAGTGAAGTGCGTCTCAGACGTCCTAGGGTTCTTGGAAGATTTTAGAAGACACCAAGAACCTCGTTTGATCCGTTTCTTGCTTTGCAACTTCTGTATTTTGCCACCTGTGCAGGCGCAGTTCCCGCTCAGGGTGCGCTGAACCCGCCTGTGCAAGCGGAGATGTAGGAAAGCACAGCAGATCCTAATAAGAAAACGATGACTGCGTAATGAATTTCGGTAACGACTCATTAACATACAAATCTGCGGCTGACAGTCGCTTGGGTGCTTGGGGACTGTTTTTACCAGAGCGCTCTCTCACAGGAGGCTGACTCATCACATTGGGGACATGCTGAGCTCAGAGTGCGCTCCTGCTTTGTTTATACATCGCTTCCATTTTTGACTGACTTCCTCGAACTACCCTTACACACAAAATTAACCAGAAATTATGTCAACCGATGACTTTTGTAAATTACAGAAGTACACGGTTTCCTGTTCTGCTGCATACATAGGGTTTTTTTTAAAAGGAAAAAATAATATAAAAGGTTTTTATTTAATTTTAGATATGATTTTAAGTAGGACAGGACCATTTAATTTTCTCTATCTTATTTGTCTCTTCTTTATGGTAAACGTTTTTGGGGTTTTTTTTCACTGCTTAAGGACCCAAGACCTAAGACCTCCCATGAATTTCTCTGAAACTCAGAGTAGTTCTAGTCAGATTTATATTTGAGCGGGCAAGGCTTTTGCTGTATTAACTCTTCAGGTGTCATAAAGTGATAGCACCCGTGCCTTAGTTGTTGAAACCTTTGTCTTATTTCTTCTTTTTACTGCAGGACGTATCTCCTGGTGGGAGCTCCGAAAGCAAACACTACCCAGCAGAACATCGTGGAAGGAGGGCAGGTGCTCAAATGTAACTGGAACTCCAACAGGAACTGCCAGCCCATCATATTTGACGACACAGGTAACCTGGGGGGTCACTGTGAGGGGGGATGGGGTGTCTCTGCTCTGCTGCTGCTGTGGGGAAGCAGAAGGGATTCGGGTTCATGGGGGGTTTCTTCATGGTCAGTGTTAATGAGGCCATTTTTTGACTGGCAGCTCATCAAGGCCTGTTTGTTTTTCCCTTTTCCTCTACTCTCTTTTTTGGAATTATGTTGTCCTTGGTATGTGCTGAAAGCCCGAGTGAGCAAATATTGTTGTTCTTGTGTTTTAATCTAGTTCTATTTCCCCTCTGTACTTTACAGCAATCCTAAAACATTTGGCAACCTAATTCCCAATAAACCCCGAGGGATTTTTTTGCCTATTAAGAACATGGCATATGAGGAAAGATACTTTTCAATATCAGCAAAGGTGGTATGGGCAGAAATAGAAGTTTCATCTGAAACCAGGAGCATAAACTAAAAACTGTGGAAAAATATGTTGTTTTTTTTAAATTTTTTTCCCCTCAGATGTAGCATCATAATATTTGTGGCATCTATAATAGCAGCACTCAGGTGCCTCAGGTCAGAGGCATTCCTCACCCATTTTCTGAAGCCCAGAAAAGCCAAGCAGCAACAATGTGGACATTAAAGATTTCAGTCACTCTTCATGCTCTGGTGCACCCAGTGATTCCCACAAGCTGTGGCAGGTCATGTGAGAACACGCTGCGTGTGCTTTTCTGCTCCAGCCACTCAGGGTTGGATCCTGTTTTCCAGTGGAAAAACCTTCCCGTGTCATGGGAGTGGATTAGCAAGGCCCATGTGGTGGGGCAGAGGAGGCACCTGTGCTGTTAATGTCTGGTTGGTTAAAATTCCTTCTTGCCTCTGCCTCTGTTTTGACTTGTCAGTCTAAAGGCTCTTAGCTTGATGCAGGCTTTGCAAATCCTGACAATGCAGTGGAGAAGCTCTTCTTCCCATTCCATTGCCAAGGTGTGCCACAAAATGTTGTTGGTGTTCAGATTCAGTTCTCTTGCAAAAAGAAAGAAAAAGAAAGTGGTACAAAAGACAAAACCCGAGTTGTCATCAGTCTCTTTAGTTCACTCTGCAGGAACATTTCTGTCACATTACTGAAGATCTCTCCTAAGCTGCTAAGTGTGACATTTTGTCAGATCAGTGTCAGGCAGAAAAGTTGCTTTTAATTTGTTGTTTGTTGTTTTGTTTATTTCACTTTGGGCTTATTGTTAAACAACATGTTTGTATTCTAGGAGGTTGGGTTCTTTTTCTTTAAAGAAAGAATCTAGCTGTCCCGAATTATTAAACACGACTAATATTATAGCAAAAAAAAAAACTTCTGGTGGGGAAAGATGAGCTGCTCAGGTAGGTTGTAGATGCATCTTCCAATGGGAATTGCAGTACATTTGTATATTTATACTGTGACTATTTGCTTTTACATGTGCCAGGCAGAGTAGGCAGCCACAGAGGCTGTACTGCTTTCCTGTGTGTCTGTGTTTAAGGTATTTGCTAGTGGGCAAACAGTGTTTTGCTCATCATTTGCCTTTAAGTACCAGGCACGTTAATCACTTGAAATTTAACAGTAAAAATAGCAGGTCATAACGGGCTTGAGAGGATTTATTTCGGGCCTACTTTGACTCATTCCAGCTTTGAGGCAGCGGATGGGGAAATAATGCATTTGTCAATTATTCTCCTGGTGAAAAGGGGCATTGTATTTCAGCACCATAAAATAATAGATGCCCTGAGACAAAAAAAATGTCTTTTTCTCTGTGCATAATGACAATGGTCGATCCCCTGCGTTCTGGTGACAGTGTCACTGCCCACCCAGTGTAAACCCCCACTCCTGCCTGCCCCTGCCTCCGGAGGGAACAGGGGCTGGGAAACACTCGGGATCCACTTTGAGGAAGCAGGAAGTGGAAGATTTGACCACTGACTTGTGGTGCTGATGCAAAGGGGATTTTGGCCGATGACTAAATGCGACCTCTGCAAGAATTCAGGTTCATCCATCACTACAAATATGATTTGTAACTCCAGAGGTATTGCTTAGCACTGCAATACAAGGCAGATTTTTTATTTCCCTCCCCCCAATTATTTAGCTGTTTTATTAATGGAAGAAGCAGCACAGGTTCTGCATCATTACCTAGATATGTTTCTTCAGAGTTCTTTTCTGATTGTTTTACAGCTAGTGGGAAACCTGACCTGTGAAAATAGGTTGTACTCATGACTTTCCCCTATTCACTTGTCGATGCTAAACCCCATATGTGGAGCTGGATGCCCCATAACTACTAGAAGTCATGCCCTTATCCTTCTCCTGCTCCCCTCTGCCAGGTAGCACAGCTGGAGATCCTGGACCAGGCCAAGGCACCGTGTCTTACTGGCAGTGTGTGAGCACAGGGCAAGGCCATGGTTCTGTGCTGGGAACGTGGTAATGGAGGAGAGAGCAAGGCTTGTTCTGTGTGACCTTATGTTTGTCCCCTTTGTCTCGTGGTTGTATCACAAATAAATATGAGAGTAGGGTTTTAGAGCAGTCCAGCAAGCAAGTTTTTTTCTCTATATATTGTTATTAATACTAACAGTATTAGTATTACTTCTTCTTAAACATTCCTTGGTTTTTATTGAAGCTTTTCTCTAGCTTTATGGGTCTTTTTCTCTTCCCCATCTCTACAAAGGCCACACTGAGCTCAGCTGCACAGCAGTGACTGCACAGAACTGGGTTTTATTTTCTAACTCTTGCTTTTGGCTTTAATGTATTTGCACAGCAGAGTGGTCATTTATGGGAGCAAATGCCAAAGCTCTTACTTAGCCCAGGAGGGAAAGTACCAGCTGCTTGATGTTAATCTTTGGAGGAGTTGTTCCAGCCCTTAGGTTGCTTGTTGCTTGCATTTGCCCTCACCCCAGCTCCCCTGGAGGAAAGGGATAAGTCATTAAGCTGATACTTCCTGTAGTATGGAATTTACTACTTTGTTTATTCCCTCCCGTGGGTGACCACTCAGCTCTGCCAGGATGGAACTGGGCAGGAGGAGTCCCTTAGTGGAACTTGTGTAGCTCTCATCCTGAAAATATATTTATTTCCCTCTTTCTCATGCTCTCCCCCCCCACCCCTCACCTGTAACATAAACAAAACCCCAACATTAAAGCATATATTATAATTTTTAAACCTCTGGCTAAAAAAAAAGACTGTTTTTTCACTGTTCCTACACAGCATATTTTCTCAGTTGAAAAAGCAATATGTTTCATAGAATGGTTTGAGTTGGAAAGGACCTTAAAGATTGTCTAGTTCCAACCTCCTGCTGCCAGGGGCAGGGAAAATTCTCAAATGGGAAGGGGGATCTCCCAGCACAATGGTTACACTCACATAAAACAGTACACTGGAGAATACTCTGTCTGTGTGTCTGTGTGTGCTGCTGTGCATATTATACTAATTGCTTTTGGCATTCTGGTCTCTATGGTGGCTCTGGAAGGCAAAATGTTTGTATCACACATTAACACTTCCCAAATGTAAAGATGCTTCGCTGTGGGGCTTCTCAGCATTTGAGCACTGACATCAGTTGGGTTTGATTTAATGTAGTTATGACTATGTGAAAATTGCACAGTGGACGTGTGTGGTAGAATATATTCTCAAATTCAGGGGTGTCTAGAGCTGTGCTGCACGTGCTCGTGTCTAGGTGGCCAGAAAGGGAGGATATTTTTTAAAAATAGGCTTCCAAGTATTGTTAGCCACAACAACCCCCTGCAGCGCTACAGGCTGGGGACAGAGTGGCTGGAGAGCAGCCAGGCAGGAAGGGACCTGGGAGTTTGGATTGACAGGAAGCTGAACAGGAGCCAGAGTGTGCCCAGGTGGCCAAGAAGGCCAATGGATCCTGGCCTGGATCAGGAACAGTGTGGCCAACAGGTCCAAGGAAGTGATTCTTGCCCTGGACTCAGAGCTTGTGAGGCCACCCCTGGAGTGCTGTGTCCAGTTCTGGGCCCCTCAGTTCAGGAAGGACATGGAGGAGCTGGAGCAGGTCCAGAGAAGAGCAACGAGGCTGGTGAAGGGACTGGAGCACAAGTCCTGTGAGGAGAGGCTGAGGGAGCTGGGGCTGTTGAGGCTGGAGAAGAGGAGGCTCAGGGGAGACCTCCTCACTCTCTACAACTCCCTGACAGGAGGTTGTAGCCAGGTGGGGGTTGGTCTCTTTTCCCAGGCAACTCTCAGCAAGACAAGAGGGCTTGGTCTTAAACTGTGCCAGGGGAGGTTTAGGTTGGATATTAGAAAGAATTTCTTTCCAGAGAGGGTAATCAGCCATTGGAATGGGCTGCCCAGGGAAGTGGTGGATTCTCCGTCCCTGGAGGTGTTTAAGGACAGTCTGGATGTGGCATCAGTGCCATGGGCTGGGAACCACGGCGGGGTTGGATCAAGGGTTGGACTTGATGATCTCAATTCTATGATTGGGCATCTGCTTCAGGCTGCCTTTTGCTCCTAGAAACACGTAAAGATTAAGGTTGAAAAAGGACCCAACCACCAGAACCAGCTTCCTCACAAGCACCACGCACACCTTCCTTGTTCCTGGTGCCAAACTGAGCTATGAGGCGGGACTGCTGTTACTGTAACAGGTTATCCTGCAAACCTCGGTAGAATCTGATTGGAAAACTTTTTTTTTTATTTTGTTTCTGTTTCTGCTCTTTGTGTTCTTGTGTATCTTGACTTCTTGCTACAATTGCCGCAGCATTACCACAATTTCAATTGAATAATTATGTAAAATCCTTGGGATTTTTCCCCTCTTTCTCAGTTAACTTTCAGAGTTTCAGAATGTGTAGGAGGCCACATTTTTTCAGGACAAACACTGAGGGGAAATTTGTATATACTCAAGGTGGCATGTTCTTCATAATTCCCATAAGCAGAATCAATAGTAATAAATCCCTTTCTTTGCAAAGATTTCACATTCAAAATACCAAAAATCACGGGTTATAGCTGAAGGTGGGTAAATATTTATCTTCATGCATTCTTATCCATTCTCCACACTAGATAAATTTGTGACAGAAAATTTAGTTTCTTTTT